GCAGAGAGCATTCATTCATTACCTGTCAATCCAGTCACTGAGAATGACAATGAACTATTGCAGGGATTAACATTTCTTTAGCATTTAAGGAATTAATGCTGTGCTAGAACACAGGCTATGGTCTAGTGAGAAACCACAATGACTGTAGACAGTCATCGGTCACAAACGAGATGGAGATCTCTCATTTCTGACCATGTAATTCTTTGGCAACTCTATGTTCATATGATGCCATATTATAAATTTTGGGGAAGGGTGGGAAAGGATGGAGAAGAAGCATAATTAGTGGCCTATGACTGGTCCTAAAATTCCAAATTAGTCTTATCCCTTTACTACTGACTACAAATCATTCAAGAGGGATTTCCTACATTGAGAACAGGGTTTGGGGGGTTGACCTCAAGTCTTTTAGATTTCAAAACAGGATATTGGCAATGAATCTGGGGTTCAACCTTTCCTGATTCTGAGAACCTCTAACATAACAAAATGAGAGTCTCATATTTTTATCCCAGATCAAGCTATATGCTTTCCCTTGGTACTCCTTTGTAAATGTTTTTGATGACCTTTCACACTCTGCTGTATATTGTATTTACTTATGTGTATCTTCTCTTCCTCTACCACACTGTAAACTATTTTAGGAGCAGCAGGGCCCATATATAATTCACCTTTGTATTCCCCTTGGTACCTAGCACAGTTCCTTGCAAATAGCAAGTACTCAATAAATATTTGTTGAACTGGATTCTTATTTATTGTAGTTATGTAATTTAATGTAACTAATGTAATGTAATTTTTAAACCTAGCTTCAAAAACACTGGTTTGAAATCAGTTATGTATACTTGTAGCTATTAATTTTAACAATGGATTTAGTTCTACAGGATTCAACATAGGAATTTAATTTTTTCCACAACTATTGCAAAAGTAATATTGAAACTTCAAATCCAAATCACTTTCATTAAAAGCACTAAAGGGAAAACTCAAACAAACCAAATCCAAAAGGACCATGGCAGATCCTCATGCCAGTAAAGAGTTCACCTTTCATTACTTGATTCAAGTAATAATCCAAACACATCTGTAAATTGTAGCTGTTTTGATAAAATTCTAATAAAATATAAACCTTTAAGATATTAAATGAAATTTTGAAAATAGGCCTTTCAACATGAAAAAGAATGCCAAGTTGCTTCATTTAATTACCATAAGTACTGTAAACAGATCAGAAATTATTCTGGTTGTAGTTCTAGGTAGATAATACAAAAATAAATTGCTCCATTTAAAATTCAATTCTCTTCAACAGGGATTGTCTAAAATGTTCAAAGCACTGTACTATGGACTGAGAATACTGAGACAGAAACCGACATACTCCCTGCCCCTAAAGAACTAAATTCTACAAGGAGGAATCTAAAATAAAGTGGTGGCCACCAGATTCAAGGTGGTTTGGGAAAAGTTGTAAATAATACTAGCATTTGAGTTTTACATAGTGGTTAATGGTAAAAAACATGTTTACATACTCTATCTCACTGGATTTTCACAAGAGCCTTGGGAGGTAGATGGGCTAAGTATTATCATCTCCATTTTTACAAGTGATTAAACTGAGACCCAGAGAGGTTAGTAACTTGCCCAACCTTACAAAGCTAACTGAATGGCAGCACCAGCCCTGTATCCAGTGCTTCTGATTTCAAAGCCAATGTGCCTTCCAATAAACACCAATAGAATACATACTATCCTTGCTTCATCATTTACTGACAAAAATTGAAGCCATTCCCTGAAAGGTCCCTCACATCAGCCAGGTGCCTCCTGCCACCATCTCCTCCTTTATTCTCTCTCACACGTTGAGATGGCCTCTAAGTTAATCTCTCTAAATGCATAAGTGACCCCATTCCCTCATCCTCACCAACAGTTTGCCTCCTTTATCATCCCACCCTCTCAGTACTCTTCAGTCTCTCCCTACTACTCACTCCTTGAGGCCATCTACAATAGACGCCTCCTCTTTCTTTCTTCTTGCTCTTTTCTTCACTCTATGTCTGCTGCTGACCTCATCATTTAACTGAAACTGCTATCTCCAAAGTTACTAATGATTTCTTAATTGCCAAATCTCAGTCCTCATCCTCTGAAGACTGACACTGCTGATCACCCTCCCTCTCCCCTGATACTCACTTCCCTCTAGGTTTTCAGCATACTACTCTCTACTGCTTCTCTGTCTCCTTTGATGCATCTCACATCCAGCTCATGTCCTCTAGCTGAGGGTCCCACCGGGTTCTGGTCTAGACTCTCTTCTCTTCTCCCTTTATACAATTTTACTTGGTGATCTTAGCAGCTCCAATGGATTCAATCATCATCTCTATGCTGATGATTCTCATAGCTATTTATCCAGCCCTAACCTCTCCACTGACTTCCATCTCAGATTTCCAGCTTCCTACTAGACATCATGGAATGAATGTTATATGAGACACCACCATGCTCCCAGTGACCTAGGTAGTTGTCATTTTTGATACCTCATATCTCCCCCCTCCTCTCATCCAATCTGTTGCCAAGGCCTTCAGAACATTTCTCACATATTTCCCCTTCTCACCTTTGACACTGCCTTCACCCTGCTGCAGGCCCTCATCTCACACTTGGACTACTTCAACAGCCTGCTGGTGGGCCTGTCTGCTTCGTGTCTTCCCACTCTATTCCACTGTCCATTCAGCTGTAAAAGTGATCTTCCTAAGTGAAGGTCTATGTTAACCCTCCTACTCAATAAATTCTAGTGCTTTCCTGTTATTCCAGAGTCAAATATAAAATCCTCCCTTTGGCCTTCAAAGCCCTTCATAAAATCTATCCCTACCTTTCCAGCCTTCTTATACCTTACCTAACCATCCCCCACCCACCCCACCAAGCCTCAGTCCAAAGACACTGTCCTCCTTGCTGTTCCCCAAATAAGACATTGCATCTCCCAGCTCTGGGCATTTTTACTGTCTGTCCCCCATGCCTGGAATGCTCTCCCTCCTCATCTCTGCTGATTATTTCCAATTTATCTTGCATATAGCTTGTCTGCATATGGTTGTTTGCATGTTGTCTCATTAGATTGTGTGCACCTTCAGAGCAGGAATGGTCTTTAACCTCTCTCTGACTCTCTGGCACTGAGCACAGTGGCCAGCACTCTGAAGACACTTAATACTGACACTACCCCAATAGGACCAACAACTGGTCTTGTTCACTCTTACCAAAAAAACCCGAAAAAAAACCAAACCTCCAGGAAAAGATGTCTTTTAATAAATCAGAATACAGAAGAAATAAATTATTTCAATTACATAAAAAAAACTTTTGCAGAAATGAAAGCAATACAGCCAGAAATACAGAAGAAAAAAAAGAAGAAAAAGTATAAAATAGGCATTAAACAGTTCTGATTAAAGACAGAAACTGACACAAATCTATAAGACAAAGAGCTATTCCTCAATGGCTAAGTGGCTAAAGTACATACATATATATGTATATATACATACATATACATACACACACACACACAGAGGCAGAAGAAACAATCAACAGTCATCTGAAAGTGTTTTAAATGGCTAATGATCATGGAACTATAAATTAAAATAACTATACTACTTGACATGCAAAAAATGGGCAAATATTGTAAAAGATGGAAAAATTCTATGTTGGCAAGGCTATTGGAAAATAGGCAAGCTAATTCATTGCTGGTGGAGCTAGAAACTGTTCTGTTTTGTGTGGCAACATATAAAACAAAAATTGCAAAAATTGCTTTATCGTTTTGGCCCAGTGGTCCCAACATTAGGTTTATGGCCCAAAGTAGTTATGGAAAGGGGGAAGGGAGGAAAGTATTCATACAAAAATGCTCACAGTAGCACTATTTTAATAATAAAATGTTGGAAACAAATCATGTGCTCAACAGTTGGGGAATACAGTGAACTTATTTTTAGAATTCTAATATAAGAAACATTATTATTCTCTAACAAAAGATGAATATGAAGAATTCAGAGGAAAACGGGAAAACTTACATGAAGAAGATTAAAGGAATAACATATATACTCTCTAAACCATGTAAATGGAGACAACATTAACCAGCAACAAAACTCAAGTTAAAGACAATGTACAATGATGCTATCATCTTATTAAAGTTAAAGCCTTCCATTCTTTAAAAAACAAAACAGTAAATTACAAAAGTATAGGGTTACATGAAATAAAAAAGTCATACACACTCCTGAGTTTTGCTGAATGGTTTTTGGGAAGTATACTTTATGGTATGTAATACCTGTTAAAAGCAAAATTTATCAACTAAGAAAAAGAAATATATATGGAAGGGCTTCCTTTTAGAAAAGAATCTTTCTTAAGGAGGCATCAAATATGTTCTAAAAACGACCAAGTTACCCTAATAATATCCTATAATAAATGAAGAAAAAAGCATTTACTATGTGTAAAGCATAGGTGCCGAGCTGGGGATATAAACAGAAAAAGCACAGTGTTCTTCTCAACTAATCTATGCAATAGTTACAATGGCATTTAAAGGTCTTCACACCTTGGCTCCTTCCTACTTATCCATCTGCTTACAATCTAATGCCCTCCAAGCAAGCCACAATCTTGCTGCCCTGGAGCACTGGCAGCTCTGTCTCCCATATCTAGCTCTCTGCTGAGGCTATTACCCATGAATGCTTCACTCTTGCCTCTGACTCTGAAGACTCCTGGGCTTACTTAAGTTTTAGCTTGAGCACTACCTCATCCAGCAGGCTCTTCCTGGATCTTCCTCCCCCCACTACTCCCACCACTAATGCCTTACATCTCAATGGCTGCCTTCCATCTAGTCTGTATTTATTGTGTACATTCTAATTTATAGGTGTTGTCTCCCCCATTAGAATGTAATTGATTGATTGATTTAGGGTCTTCTATTAATTAACCGTGTGGTCTTAGGTAAGTCACTTAATCTCTCTGGTTCTTAGTTGTCTCATATATAAAATGAGGGACTTGAATTCAGATTTTATAAGGATAAAAAGTATTCTCTAACGTCTTACCCTGGCATCATATTCAAGAACAAAGGGTGGAAAGTCAATCTGTTCTGGGGATATGGCAGCAAAGAGCTGGTGGAGGCTGTCCACATGGTGGATTTTGTCCTTTAGTCCTGAGACAGAAAAGGTGGTGAAAAACCATGTTGATACCTATTTGATAGGAAAGAAAAAAATTAAATTAGTAACATGGCCTTTTCTTTAAGAACATCAGGTAAAATCAATCATAACCAAGATGAAAATTTTTGAAAGTGGAAACAGGCCTGATTTTTAAAATTGTACCTAGGAAGGTAAGGTTTAAAAAAAAAAATGTGTGTGAACAAAGACCACTAAAATTGAGGATATTAGAACTAAGCCAAGAAGAGGTAACTATAATCAGCCAGTTAACAAGCACTTATTAAACACTTACTATATACCAGGATCGGTGCTAAACAATGGGGATACAAAGAAAGGCAAAAACATGGGCCCTGTTCTCAAAGATCTCAAATTATGATGGGGGAAACATGAAAATATCTATGTATATACAAGATATATGCAAAGTAAATGGAAGGTAATCTTAGAAGGGAAATAACAGTGCCGGAGGGAGGATCTGGGAAGGCTTTCTCCAAAACAGGATTTGAAATGAGTCTTGAAGGAAGCAAAGGAAAATAGGAATTGGAGATGAGGAGAAATGAGGTGGGAGAGCATTCCAGGCATTGGGTATAGTCGGGGAAAATACACAGTCAAGAGACTGAGTCCCAACTCTGGATGTAATCAGTAGTGTCTCTGATCTTCTGTGTGACCCTAAGCAAAAATCACTTTACCTGTGGGTGTATCAGTTAAGTCCATTTGACAAATGGATAGAACATAATTTTTTTTTAACATTGTTAAATTTACTTATAAATTTTGGGTGCATAGTTGTTCTCTGAATTTGCATTGTTCTATTGATCCCTCTATTTTTTAAACAATACCAGATGGTTTTGAAGACTGCTGCTTATAATATAGTTGAAGTCAGGAAAGTGCTACTCCCCCTTTTTCCTTGTTTCTCTTCTTTTTAAAATATATTTTAAATTATTTTGTTAAATATTTTCCAAATACATTTCAAAAATTTTTAACATTTATAAAAATTCTGAGTTCTAAATTCTCTCCCTCCCCCACCCCTTGAGAAGGCAAGTAATATGACACTGATTATACAAAACATTTGTCCATATTAGCCATACTGCAAAAGAAAACACACACATACATGAACAAAAAGAGTGAAAGTGAAAAAAGTATGCTTCAATCTGCACTTGGAGTTCATCAGTTCTCTCTTTGGAGGTGGAGAGCATTTTTCATCATGAGTCTTTTGATGGGCTGCTCCTCAATTTCCAAGTCTTTGTCACCACAAAATGAGCTGCTATAAATATTTTTGCACTAATAGGTCCTCTTCCTTTTCCTTTGATTTCTTTGGGATACGGACCTAGTAGTGAGTGGTATTGCTAGGTCAAAGTATGCATACTTTTACAGCCTTTTGGGTAGAGTTCCAAATTGTTCTCCAAAATGGCTGAACCAGTTTACAACTCACCACAAGTGCATCAGTGTCCCTATTTTTCCATATCCCCTCCAGCATTTGTCATTTTCCTTTTTTGTCATGTTAGCCAATCTGATCGGTGTGATTTACATTTCTCTACTTATTAGTGATTTAGAGTATTTTTTTTTTCATATGACTATTGATAGCCTTGATTTCTTCTTCTGAAAACTGCTTGTTCATGTCCTTGTGGCTCAGTTCCCTATATATTTGAGAAACGAGACTTTTATCAGAGAAACTTAAAGTCCCCCCACCCCACCCCAAGTTTCCTGCTTTCCTTTTAATTTTGGCTACATTACTTTTGTCTGTGCAAAATCTTTTAAATTTCATGTAATCAAAATTATCCATTTTACTTCTCATAATCCTCTCTATCTCTTGATAGTCATAACTCTTTTCTTATACATAGATCTGACAGGTACATTTTCCCATACTCTCCTATTTTTCTTATGATATCACCCTTTATGTCTAAATCATGTATCCATTTTGACCTTATTGTGGTACACAGTGTGAAATGTTGATCTACTCCTAGTTTCTACCAAACTGCTCCCCAGTTTTCTCAGCAGTTTTTGTCAGAAGTTGAGTTCTTTCCCCCAAAGCTTAGATCTTTGGGTTTATCAAACACTAGATTACTACAGTCATTTACTACTGTATATTGTGTACCTATTGTATTCCACTGACCCACCACTCTATTTCTTAGCCAACACCAGATTATCTTCAAGATTACTGCTTTATAATATAGTTTGAAATCTAGTACAGGTGAGTCACTTTCCTTCACATTTTTTTCCCTCTCTTCCACATTTTTCTTGACCTTTTGTTCTTCTAGATGAATTTTGTTATGATTTATTTCTAGCTCTATAAAATAATTCTTTGGTAGTTTGATTGGTAGGGCACTGAATAAGCAAATTAATTTCGGTAGAATTGTCATTTTTATTATGTTGGTTTGGCTCACTCATAAGCAATTAATATTTCTCCAGTTACTTAGATCTGTCTTTATTTGTGTGAAAAGTGTTTTATATTTGTGTTCATATAGACTCCAGGTTTGTTTTAGCAAGTAGAATCCCAAGTATTTTACTTTGTCTGCAGTTATTTTAAATGGAATATTTCTTTTTATCTTTTCCTGCTGGGTTTTGTTGGTAATATACAGAAATGCTGCTGATTTCTGTGGGTTTATTTTATATCCTTCTAACTTTGCTTATGTTGTTAATTATTTCAGCTAGTCTTTTAGTCAATTCTCTAGGATCCTCCAAGAATACCATCATATCATCTGAAAAGTGATAGTTTTGTTTCCTCATTGCCTATTCTTATTTCTTCAATTTATTTTTCCTGTTTTATTGATACAGCTAGCATTTCTAATACAATATTAAATAATAGTGGTGACAATGGATATCCGTGCTTCACCCCTGATCTTACTGGGAAGGCTTCTAGTTTATTCCCATTATAGACAATGCTTACTCTTGGTTTTAGGCAGATACTACTTACCACTTTAAGAATAGCTCCATTTATTCCCATGCTTTCTCGTGTTTTTGATAGGAATGCGTGTTATATTTTGTCAAAAGCTTTTTCTGCATCTACTGATATAGTCATATGACTTTTGTTCCTGTTGCTATTGATAAGGTCAATCATGCTTATAGTTTTCCTAATACTGAATCAGCCCTGCCTTCATGGTATAAGTCCTACCTGGTTAGAGTATATGATCTTTGTGATACACATTGCTATAATCTCCTTGTTAGTATTTTATTAAAATTTTTGCACTGATATTTAATAGGAAAATTGGTCTACAATATTGTTTTTCTTCTCTTTCTCTCCTTGGTTTAGGTATCAAAACCAATTATTTGAGTCATAAAAAGGATTTGGTAGGATTCCTTCTTTATCTATTTTTTTCAAATAATTTATATAGTATTAAGATTAATTGTTCCTTAAATATCTGGTAGGATTCACTTGTAAATCCATCTGGTTGACAGGACACATTTTCAAACAGTTATGTGGTATTTTATTCAAATAACAACACTCTTCATTAATATAAATGTTTTTCTATGATGGCTTAATTTCTTTTCTTTAAGCTTAAAATATTATTCTTTGAATAAGTGTATATTAACAGAAAAAAGTTTACTTCTGCTCCTTACACACTGCTGTATAAAAATGTTACAGTTGTAAGTAAAATGGTCCACTCCTCTTCGACCAGGAACTGCAGGAATTTTCAGCCAGCCAGGCATTCCATAACACAACAGGGGGGTACTGGGTCTGTTGCATCAATATTCTAAATGGAGCTCTGGAGTTAGATAGCTCTCATTATCACTTCTTAGTTACAACATAACCTTTAGCTTCCTCTCTCCCTAATAACACATGTTGCCCCAGGAACCACTTTCCCCCTTTCTGCTACTTCTGAACTTTTTTTTGGCTAGGCAATGGGGTTAAGTGACTTGCCCAGGGTCACACAGCTAATAAGTGTCAAGTGTCTGAGGTCAGATTTGAACTCAGATTCCCCTGAGTCCAAGGCTGATGCTCTAGCCATTGCATCCCCTAGCTGCTCCCCCCCTTTGTTTTTGACACTTCTGAACTTTCAGCACTTTCTTTTCTCCCCAGTTCAAAGCCACGCCATCTGACTACTTATTTCCTAATCCTTTCATGGTTCCCAGATGGAAATCCCTGTTATGAGAGGAAGCAAACTGTCCAATATCCTCAGCCCTTTTTTTCATTAGGCATTCACTACTTCCACCTCCTTATCTTGCCTAGGTTATACAGGCAATCTATTGCCTTTGGGTTGAGATTTCTTTTGGGGTAGAGTTGATTAGAGATTAGAAAAGGAAGAATTAAAATAACAATGTGTTCACTATTTTACTGTCCATCTCTTATCTTCTATAATAATTCTGAATTAAGTTAAAAATTCCAGTCTCTGATGAAGTTGGACCTTTTCACTAAGATTAATCATTCTTCATGTACCTTTCCAGCTTCTCAAGTAAATTGCTTCCACCATCATTTCCCACCCCCTTTTCTCTATCCACTTGTTCCTTTTCAACCACCTACAAACGTGCCTAAGTGTCTCCAACCATTAAAAAACCTTCACTAGATCTTGCAAATTATCATTCTATATCTCTCTAGACAAACTCCTACGCATCCACTTCCTTTCCTCTCACTCCTTTCTAAGTGTCTGTAGTCTGGCTTCCAACCTCATCATTTAACTGAAGCTGTTCTCTTCAAAGTTACCAATAATAACTGAGTTAGCATACCTAATGGCCTCCTGTCAACTCTCATCCTTCTTGACCTCTGTAGTATTTAACACTAATGACTACCCTCCCCTCCTGGATACTCCCTACTCTCTGACCTTACCCACTCCTTGTTCTTTTTCTGTCTGACTGCTCCTTAATATCCTGTTATAGATCATTATGCACATCATAACAACTAACAGAGGATGTATCTCATGGCTCAGTCCTGGGGCCTCTTTTCTTTCTATACTCTTTCACTCGTGGACCTTATCATCTTCCCTGGGTTCAAATATCTCTATGTAGATGACTACCAGACCTACATATTCAATGATTCCATCTTAGGTATGCATTATCCACTACTGGACATTTCAAACTGGATGTAGCTGGATGTCCTGTGTTTCAAA